TTTAGAATGGATCACCGTGCAGAGAATGTGCCCATGATCAAAACGCAGGGTCCCTACGCTGGAGCCCTGAGGAACCAGGTTGGCTACGGGTGAAAAACCCAAGAGGACCCCACGGTGCTGGACCCAGGTCTCCTTGGAGCCTGCCTGTCAGAGCAAAGGGGAGAATAGTGTCTCTAACAGGAGTTAACAGGAAGGCGAAGAGACCGGATGAGCCCGGCCTCCAGTTCTCCAGCAGAGAACCAGCAAGCCCAGGGAGACGGCCCTGCAGGTAGGTATATGCCTGGAGCGCCATGGGCTGGGGTTGGCATCAGTGCCAGGCAAGCCTGGAAGCAGGGGATGCGACAGGGGGAGCACAGCGTGGCAGGAGAGGGGCTTCAGCGAGAGAGGCGGGTGGGCTTGGCGCCCTGCATGCAGGTGGGGGCTTGTGCGAGTCACGGGACCTTCGCTTGGCATCCACCACATGTCGGAGATTGACTTATTTGCCATGACGAACACTGGAGGTCCCAGAGGGAAAAAACTGCCATTCGAAAGAAGATGAAATGAACAAAGTCACCCTGTTTCTATCAGCCTGCGATTTAGTCTAAAGCTTATCCGGTGGTAGAAGAGGAATTCAGGAAACAGAAACCAGGCCCCCAGGGAAGGATCCAGGCTGCAGCTTCCCCTGAGGACGGTGGGAGGCGCGGGTTTAAGCATGGAGGAGCTACTCCCCACATTATCGTCCATGTCAAACTCACAGTGAAGGGACCCTGAGGCCCCAACCCACCTGCTCTTCAGGGAGGGAGTGTGGTTGTACCCTGTCCTTCTACCTCCTTTTTATGGAGCGAGGCGCAAGGCCCGGCCTGGCCCGGCCCATGGAGGACCTGGCGACAGGAGCCTGCTCATGCTTCACCTGTCCTCTGCAGCATGTGGGAGCTGCTGGTCTGTGCACCAGAAGCAGGACAGCTGGCAATTCCAGGCTTTACCAGTTGCCATCTGGCAAAGGAGCTCGCCAGGGAGAATCTGCAGGGCTGTCCCATCAGCCCCAATGCTGTCAGAGGAGCGGGGACAAGCCTTGGATCTAATACTTAGTCGGCGTTCAGCTCTCCACAGAGTCAGTTTCATTCCTGCTAGAGATGTGAGTTCAAAATTAAGTGATACAAAATACTCCAGCTCTTGGTTTGGGTTTGATTCTAATTTATAATACTAAGTTCAGAGAATGATGCCTTGTTGCACCAGAATATATAGGAAAAATATTTTGGTTCAAAACAATTCACACTGAGGCAGCAGGGCCACGCTCCTGCCCTTGCAGTGCTGCTCGGAGTAGAGATTCTGACAGCAAGACAGGACTGTGAGGGCCACGGGCCACGTCAGAGAAAGGACGTGACCTGAAGCTGTCAGGCCCGGGACGGTCTCTGAATTCTGGAAGGGCTTCCCTTTCTGACCCCATGGTCCCGGGCCTGTGAATGTCAGAGGAGACAGAACCTCAAGGAGACAGCTGTGGGATGTGGATGAGAGTGTGGGCTGGGTGCCAGCTCACCCCTCACCCACCTGGGACTGCTCAAAACCCTCTCTGGTCATTCAACCCCCAAGGTCACCCTTTCCAACCCCAACAAAAGTAACACGCAAACAGGCCCTGGGAGCAGTTTCATTGCCGGCAGGCGGACAGACCAGCGCTTCTCTCCCGAGATCGTGGAGAAAGTGCCACAAGACAGAATCTGGTTCTGTACAGCCACAACATCCGGAGCTTGGTGCCAGCTGGCTGGGGTGCTGTGGAGGTCACCTCCACCCGTGTCCCCCAGAGGGAGAAGGCCAGCCTTGGCCCTGCACGTAGCCCGAGGCTCCAATGGCCTCTGTGGCAGGTGCTCCCGGCAGAGCCCACCCTGGGGACACCATGAGTTATTTGCAAAGCAATACCTTTCTAGAGACGGTGCAGGAACGATGAGAAATATCACCAGGCTAGCCTGCTCTCAGAACGAACACTTCCAGCCCTGAGCACATTTCTTAACTGCTCACCTGCAAGACCCGCACCATTCTCACTACACAAACCATGACAGAAAGGAACCAAAGAACACCTGGAGAGAGCAGCCATGGTTTATTTGAGCAGTGTGAGGCCCGTCTCCAGATCGCACGAGCGGCACATGAGCCAGAGAGCCGGGACCCTCGGCCCAGTCCAGGGACGTCTGGACCCATCCCTGCCCCAGACTGCACGGCAAGTGTGGCCTGGGACCCCAGTTGTAGCTGGGCAGTGGACCACGCACCTCTGCCAGCCTTAAGCTGTGCACTGACAGGTCACACTGAGGGGGCACACTTCCACAGATGCCACTCCACCTCTCTCTAAAGAGAATAGCCACCCAGAGAAAAGATGCTCTTCAGGCATCTGGGGAAAGAATACGCAAATACAGGGCACTACGATTTAAGGGGTCCACTGCGATGTGAACAGGAAGGAAGCATCGGAGAGAATGTAAGCAAGTCAGTGGGCCTTCATCGTGATCCCTGTCCACTGATGGACACCAGCAGGTCCAGGCTGTCACTGGGGGCCCCCCTGCGCCTGGGATCCACTTGGCCTTGCAATCCTCTCTGCTGTGTGGGGCAGGAAGAAGGGACCCCAGTTAGTCTCCCCAGAGCCTTTCTAGCTTAAGTAACTTCCAGGAGGATTTTGTTCATGCTGGCCCCCACCTAAAAGAGGAGGCTGGTTTTGGAGGCCACCAATCTTGGATGGGGTGGAGGAGCTGAGAGCCTCTAGACGGTCCGTTTGTCTCCATAGACCCCTGGGTTCAAAATCCACCATTCTGACAGGCAGCCACACATGGGAAAATGGCTATTTTTTTCTTTAAGACAGAATCTTACTCTGTCACCCAGGCTGGAGCACAGCAGCACCATCTTGACTCACTGCAACTTCCGCCTCCTGGTTCAAGTGATTCTCGTGGTGCCTTAGCCTCCCTATTAGCTCTGGGGACCACAGGTGCACGCCACCATGACTGGCTAATTTTTGTATTTTTAGTACAGACAGGGTTTTGCCATGATGGCTGGGTTGGTTTCAAACTCCTGGGCTCAAGTGATCCACCTGTCTCAGCCTCCCAAAGTGCTGGGATTATAGGAGTGAGTCACTATGCCTACCTGAGAAATGGCCTTTTTTGAAGGTACAAACTAGCTATTTTTAAATGACCGAAATGTTATGTTTTTCTTAAAAAAACAAAAACTTAGGCCGGGCGCGGTGGCTCACGCCTGTAATCCCAGCACTTTGGGAGGCAGAGGCGGGTAGATCACGAGGTCAAGAGATCGAGACCATCCTGGTCAACATGGTGAAACCCCGTCTCTACTAAAAATACAAAAAAATAGCTGGGCGTGGTGATGCGTGCCTGTAATCCCAGCTACTCAGGAGGCTGAGGCAGGAGAATTGCCTGAACCCAGGAGGCGGAGGTTGCGGTGAGTCAAGATCACGCCATTGCACTCCAGCCTGGGTCTGGGTAACAAGAGTGAAACTCCATCTCAAAAAAAAAAAAAAAAAAAAAAAAAAAAAAACTTGCTGTCAACTTAATAATCTTTAGGGCTTAAAAATCTACTCTGCGATGGCCTGGGCAACATGGCAAGACCCTGGACCTACAGAAACAGGCACGGATGGGGTCAGTGAGCCGTGTTAGTGCCACTGCACTTCAGCCTGGGCAGCAGAGGGAGACCCTGTCTCAGAAAACAAATGCAAAAAACCCTGTTCAGTGCTAAGAACAAAACCCTGTGCTACACGTACGGCAGGAGGCCCCAGGCCCCTTTTGAGAGCTATGGATCTCCCAGGAGGCCCCTTCTGAGCGCTACGGATCTGAGTGTCGCTTCTGCTTTGGCAGCCCAGACTCAAGACAAAAAGTGCATAGTTCAGCACTGGAGGCTCTGCCGCCCAGCACTCCAGAGCCAGCACCCTGGGAAGCTTCTGGGAGTTCCCCACCCCAGGAAAGTGCTGGAAGCAGAGCAGAGGGCTCAGCCGGCTGCCAGCATGGAGAGGCAGCCGAGCAGGACCTGGATCTCATGACACAGCAGGAAGTGGCAATTAAGTGGGAGCACAAGGGCCTGAAGAAGGGCTGTCTTTTCAGGCCAGGTCGCCCTCGCAGGCGGGTGGGGAGGTGCCTAGGCCTGTGGGTGCCAGCGTGCTGCTCACATCAGTTATGTCTGTCAAGAGTGAGGAAGAATATTTCAGAGCGAGATGACGTAAATCGTGAGTTCTTCCGATCCCAAATGGAACGCCCCCCACTGCCCTGTGTAGGAAGCTCTGCAGCGATGGGCCTGGTGTCTGCAGCAGGACAACCTCAGCACAAAGCCTCAAGCAAACACTATTCAAGATGAGGAGTAGGAAAACAATGAACTCTAGCCAGGAAAAGAGCTCCCACAGAAAGCAGCCTACCTGGGGGAGAGGGGAGGGAGAGCATGCGGAAAGGTACCGAATGCATGCAGAGCTTCAACCCTAGATGACGGGTTGATGGGTGCAGCAATCCATCACGGCACATGTACACCTCTGTAACAAACTTGCACTTTCAGCACAGGTATCCCAGAACTTACATGAAAATAAAAATCACAAACAGCAAGCAGCCTGCCAGCCTCTACCTTCTTCCCTCTCCCAGCTGCTGGCCGGGTGGCTGGACAGAATGTCGCCATGTCCAGCATCCAGAATAGTGAGTCCATGTAACGAAAGCCAGCTCGCAGCCCAGGACTTCAGAATGTCAACATCCTCACGACACAGAAGCCTTTATGAGGCTCGGCCAAAAAGTCAATCAACGGTCCTTCTCCCCGGTTGGATTCAGCACAGAGAAGGACCACATACAACAGTATCTGAGATCAGAGCATCTCCTCCAGTACGCGGCCAGCTATGAGAAACAGCCCGCAGTAAGAGGGAGCAACTGCTGTGGCTGTTCATTCTAGAAACATTAACAAGACCCTTAATTTTACAGCATTTATAAGCTTTTCTTGTTTTGGTTCACTGGGATTTTTAAAGCTTAGATGTGAAAATGACTACTGAAAATTATCTACATTTACAGTTCATTCACGCAAGTTTATTTAATGTCAGTATACAGAGGACAGCCCCACAGTACTTCAGAGTATCAAGTATGTAGTAAATGTAGTAAGTCTCGTTAGCTGTGACAGTGACAAAGGAACAGCTAAAAAAACAAAGCAGTGAAACAAACATGATTTTCTTAAAATTATAAAATAACAATACTGATATTAAAGCTTCATTATTGCAACAGTTAAGAATTTACCAATCTTTCATGTTAGGAAGGCTCTTTATGAAATTTATTCAAGTTGTCAAGAAATTAGATGAAAATATAAAAAAGAAAATACATGTGAATTTTACTTTTGATTTTCACTCAAAATATCCATACAGTTTTATACAGTGTCACCTAACATAACAATCTTTAATAAACTCAAGTATACAGAAATGATAAAAATGCAGGCAATTTTTCTTTTACACTTTCAAATGAAGGGACTGCAATTTATGACACAAAGTTCGTGTAACAGATGCGGAAATGGATGAAAAAAATCAACATCAGTGGGACAGCTTCCCTCTACCGGAGGGGCATGTTCTTACAGTTTGTGACTGGGATCTGAGTTTCAAAGGTAACAGTTGAATACGAGTGCTTTTCAATATAAAGCCACACACTTCACTTTGGCCACACGAATGTCTCCTCCCTTTGGGACATGACTTGGGGTCACTGAGATACGCACCTTAACATAAACCAACATATGATAGTCCCAATCGGCCGGTGGCAAAGAGCGTGCTCCAGACAAAGGAGGGCCCTGCAGGCTGCTGCCAGGGCGGTAGACTATCAACCCTCACCTTTTGTCACCCAGACCAAAGTGAAGGCAGCGTCTCCAGGTCACTTCACCCCTACCCATGCATGCAGAGGTTCTCACTGCTGAGGAGTGAAACCTCAGCCATGGGCACACGTCGACCGCAATGGTGCATCTGTGCAGTCAGAGGCCAACCCTGCCCCCATCCACTGGCACTGGAGGCAGGGGCAGGGCTGTCGGACTCCCCGCCATGCCCTCGCCCACAGAGCTGGATGCCAGATGCTGCGTTCCACCAATCTTTCCCCAGAAAATCCACAGGTGAACTGCTTCTAGTTCTTCCTTGGGCAATCAGACCACGCATGATGTGGCGCCTGGGTTTCCGTGGGTCCCTTCTCCAGGCGCCCCCAACCCCTAGGGCTTTCTCCTCCTCCTCACACTTTGAGCTCATTCAACAAAGAAAAAAAATGTCTCCCGCCCAGGCAAGAGGTGATGAGGACCTGAAACTCGGGCACAGCCATGTGATAAGGCAGTTCCACCAACTTCAGCACTAATTTGACACTTGACGATTTCCTTAATACTTAAAATGAACCCCAGGAAGTGGAGGAACTGGGCAGAAATGCTGCCTGGCCACCTGCCAGCTGGGCCCTGGCGGTGAAGCCAGCCGGGGAGAAGCACACTGGCCCCACCTGGACGGTGTTCATGCCCATAAAACCTCATCCCATCACAGAGTTTCTTCCTCAGAATTCCTGCATGCCTTTGAGATAAGAATCATTGTGATAGCTCCTTTCAGATTTTCCATGCCTCCATTTTTAAGGCATTTATCCTCAGTCCCAAGCTAAGGGTTCACAGGAGAACACTTCCAGACTGCTAGAAGGTTCAATCAGCACAAAAGAGAAATTAGATCCTTTGCCATGATTTAAGCAAATTCCAACCCCAAGGCTACTGGCTATTTCTCCAGTGTCTAATCCTGCACATGCATTTGCTTTCAAAAGAAGGCAAGGTTTTCCAAAGGCTCCCTTCTCCAGGCTTCTGGGGGAATTTTTAATCCCCTTCTCCTGAATAAGAGAAAAGCCTGAGGGTAAGGCTGGGGCCCCGGTGGCAGGTAGTGTTTGGAAGCCCACCCCGCTTCACCGCACAAACCTGGCTTCTGGAATTCTGGCGGAAGAGGCCAGCCCGGGTAGGACAAGGAGAGGCTCCCTGGCCTGGCACCTTCGGAAGGTGTCTGACACCGCCAGGGCCAAGCCTGCCCCCTTGCCAAGTAGGCGCGGGGCTCTGTGGCCGCTCAGTGTGCCCCTGGTTTTTGTCTGTGCTTTTCACCTCTGCGGTTTGGTACACTTTGGAAAAGTGATGCTGACTAAGCAGTTAAAAGCCTCTTCTGGCCAAATGCTGTGTTCCATCCCAGAGATGAGGTTAGAAAAGCTATTCCTGCTCACAATAACGTTTAAGCTGAAAAATGTGAATGAGGAAGCTCAAAGTTTGGTGAAGAAACCACAAAATTTTCCCCCAAGTTTCTCTTAACTGTCTGCCACAGGAAGCAACGCACATGGTACTGACACACCTGGTGTCAGGAGCGCCCTCCCCGATCCACCCCAGGTCTGCCGGAGCCATTACTCGGAAGCATGGCCCAGGGAGGGCGCTCCCCCACCCTCTCTCCAGTGCCTCTTCTCCTCAAGCTGTCGGGCACCTTTAGCTCTGGTCTTGGAGAACACCTTGCATGCTGTCCTCCTGCCTGCAGAAGTGCTCTGCCGGCTGTCAAAGAAAGGGGCAGCGGTCAGAGGGGCAGAGTGGTGTCACCCTGCAGGGCCCAGGCCAGCCTGGGATGAGCCAGGAGTCGAGCCATGCAATCAAAGGCACCCCCTCCCCAGGTGGGCACAGCACTCCCCACTGGGCCCTGAACCCAGCAAGAGGAGTCTTGCGGAGGGCATGGAGACACAATGAGGGGCCCCAGACAAGGTACCAGACAGACATTAAGGACAGTACACTGCTTGGCAAAAATTGGCAGAAAAAGATGGTGATCGAGCCCCAAATCCAAAACTGACAATATCATGGTGTTTAACCCTGGAGGTGTGGGGAGAAAGACACACGCGGGCGCGGGCCTCCGGGCTGCACAGCATGTTTCAGAGTTTTTAAAGGAAACGATCTCCTCCCCTTGCCTCTCCCGCCCCCGGTTCCTTTCAGCAAACGGACTCCTAAGTCACCTGGCAGCAAGCCCCTGCACTCCCTCTTCCATCCCGCCACTGCAACTGAGAGCTGGAGAGCGGGGAGAGATCGGAGCGCGCCCAGTCGGCCATGCTGGCACTCGGGCACACACCCTCGGCTCCCTGTCATGGGCAACACTTCAGAACAAGGTCACCAGAAGTGTCACCATAAACGCTACTTACCTGGGATCAGCCACTCTATGTAGGCCAAATACTAAGTCCTGAATTTTGAAACTGCATACTCAATGCCTCAGAAGCATTTGAAACTGAACGTTTACAACTATGTAGGTGCGTAAAATCGCACACGGAGTGTTCATTACTCATCTCTCCACGTGACCCAATTTGACCTCCAAAGCTGAAACTGTCCACAAGGATGGCTGTCATGGCTACCTTAGATCAGTTCACCTTTAGGAACAGAGGCCCGTATGGCACAGGTGGAGAGGACACGAACATTCCCATTAAGTAGTGCTCAGGGATGCTAAAGGCACAGACAGGTGAGATGCCCCTGAAGGCTGCTGTGGTCCCCCCGTGGCCACGTGCTGCCCTGCCACCACACTGAAGACAAAGCAATGGGTTAAGGCCCACACTGTGCACAGGGTGGGCAGCTCCACCGTGACACGTTTGGAGATGGGAAGCAGGCCTGAGGACCCAGCCCAGCTTTCCTGGGAGGTCCATTAAGAGCGCAGGCAGCTGAGGCTCCACCTACCAGGGTCTTTTACACTGCACAGAAAGAAAAGTCAACCAGGTCTTCACTCTGTTGAATCATGTTCACTACGCAACCAGTATCGGTGATCGTTATCTCCGTATTTAATTACAAAGATGTGCAAAACAGAAAAACCTAAATGCCCAAAATGAGTTAATAAGTAAGATGACCACCATCTTGACATGCCGTATGCAGCTCAAGGGGCCATCTCACCCAGTGTGAAGGCAGAATTTGAAAAGCGGCTCCTTGCACAGCAGTAGAGGAGGAGGATGAAGGGCTGCGGTCACTGGGGGAGCAGCACAGCCTCCCACTGCTGAGGAAGCCACCGGCCACCAGGGCCCAGGCTGAGGCTCCAGGGTGGGAGCCACTGAGGATGAGGCCCAAGGGCATGGCCAGCGCCAGCATCCCAAGAGTAATCCCTGAGCCACAGCCGCCATCCAAGAACAAGGAAAGGGAAACCTGCACTTCCGCTTCCTTTGGGAGGGACTAAGCCCAAACAAGGGCCCGTGTCAGGGAGAAGTAGGACATCTTGGGGAGTCTCCGGCTTTGGCTTTACAAAAAAAAGCGGAGTCGCACGTGCCTTTCTGACCCAGACCCTTCCCCCCACCCCCCACCCCCACGAAAAACCCAAAAAACTCCTTTTCCCTTGTTGGGAAAACACATAAGCAAAGCGCATCTGACCTAAAAGGTCTTCGCTTATGCGGCAAGAGGCACTTCTGCGATGCTGTTGGTGTCCTCAGCCTGCAGTTCCCACGAACTGTCCAGGCTCTGAGTAAGGTGGGTATTTTAGTGCACAGAATCTCAATCAAAGTGCTACAAACTGCTTCTTTGAAAAAAGATGTTTATTAAACAACTTTAATTGTCATAAAATGACTAAAATGGGTTTTAAAAATTAAGGCTCTTCTCTTTCTGTGGATTGCCAGAACAATGTAAAAATAATATCAATCAACCCTGCTAAACGTTTTGTTCCTAAGGTTAAATTTCATAGATTCCTAAACATTTTGTGATTAAGATAAAAAACTGGACTATAAATGACAATTCATGGCCATCTGTGCTGAACAGACACTGATCAGGTGTACAATATTCTAATTGAGTAGTTAAGCAAAAATATTCCAGTTAAAGCATAAATTGTAATTTTAGCATTTTAAAGTCATTGTTTGCCCACACTGTCATGATTTCCCTAAAATTGAAATAGTCTAATACAGGAACGCTAACCTCGGGACTCTATATACTCCCAGGAGGATGACTGACTTGGCTGGCAATTACTTTGATTATATTTTTTTAAATGCTCTAAGGTAAATTATCAAATGATTCAGAATTACATGGCATGCAGTATCCAAAATTATGGCTCTGATGCATTTAGATTTACATTAAGAATAAGAAGTGTCATTCACATTCATTGTACACCCCGCCCCTCCCACAAAAAAAAAGTCACTACCTATTCAAGTTCTAGATCTGGTGCAGCATTAAGGATTAAAACTTACCACTTTACCAGGCCTTCCCCATGTGCAAATAAATCCCTCCTGACAAGCAGTGACTATACAGTCTTCAAGAAAAATTAATACAGTCAGTCTTTCATGTGCTATCTTTTTACATATGAGCGGCTCTAACAAGGGAACGTCTTCCATTCGGGGACACAGGGGCGTTCCCAAAGTTTTAGCAGGGTCTGTTTTGGTTTTGGTAACTAGATTCAGTTTGTCACTGCTCTTGCTAGAAATGTGTCCCATGCTATGATTTCGCTTGTGATCTTTCTCGTGGTGCCTCTCCTTCCGGTCATGTAGTGAAAGTGTTGCAAATTTGCTGACCCCAGAAGCAATGGCCCCATCCATGACACTGCTTTTGCTGCCAGCATTTGAGACTGCTGAATGTGGAAGGCTGTTGGACCGTGGCAGAGGAGGGGGCACAGAGTTCCCGGGCGTTGTAACACTGTTCCCATTGCTTCCAGCAGGAGGACTCGTGGCATTCATGACATTTGTGTGTGTCCTTGCTCTTGAGAGGGGTTGGTGAGGGAAAAGGATATCTTCTGTAAGGTCCCATAAACACAGCTGTGTGTCCTGGCCCACGGAACCAAATCGATACGTGACACTTACAGGGCGGCTGTCTGTAGAGTTCCGTTTGGAGAGCCTGGACTGTGTACTATTTGCTCGATCTCTGCCAAAATGAAGAAGGTCTTGGAAGTCCTCATCACTGCCACTGAACTCCATAGGGTCACTTTCTTCTACACTAGTGGTATAGGGGTCAAACGCTACGACACTGACCCAGGACTTGTGCCCGTGGCCTCTGGCTATTACTCGGCAGTCTACAAAGGACCAGACTGTCACCAAGTCATCCTCTCCACCTGTCACGATGTACTTGCCATCCGGGCTCCAGCACACACACAGCAAGCCCCCAAAGTAGCTTTTCATCGTACCGTGCAGCTCCACTGAGTCAAAGCTGAACACCCGCAGAAACCCGTCCTGGCTCACGCACGCTAAGAACTTGCCATCTGGGGAGAAAGCAAACTCGTTGAGGGCCCCCTCGCCCACCGTCCACTTAAGGAGAGGGTTCCTCGTGGATTTGCTCTTGCAAGTGTGCACGGCAAAGCTCTCTCCCTGCTTCAGAAGCTGGTAGTGGGGGGCTGTGGTGCCACAAGTGTGCTCCACGTTATATAAGTACATGTTCCCACTCGAGTGGGCTACTAGGAAAAGGCTTTCCGAACCGGGAACCCATTTGACACAGGTAACTCGTGACTTGTCTATTAGTCTCTGTGAAGACAAAGGAGAACAAGTTAGCACAACGGAGAAGTCTCAAAGGTCTACTTTTCCAGCAAGCAAACTTGTGTATTTCCTGGTGGGAAGGGGCAAGTCCATCCAGGCCCTCCACGTTTTAGCCTGCAGTCAGCCAGGCCAGCAAGGAGCATTTTGACGCCTTGTAGAATTACTTTCTAAAATCAGTGTTAGGCTACTGGCTTTCACTGAGGGAGTCAGGCAGCGAGCAAATATTTGCAGAGGGGCCACGAAGTGTCAGATGCTATGCCAGGCACAGGATTCTCCACAGAGGGAAGAGCCCTGCTGGGATGCTTTCTTTAACGGTAGGAGCGTCTGAATCTGGGGGTCACTGCATCTACATGTGGCATCCCCTCTATGAGGACCCACAGGTAAAGTCTCTGAGTCCTCACAGCCAGGAGAGCTCTGCCTCACCTCAAGGATTTCTCTGCATTTATTGTCACTGTAAGTCATGAGCTGGCTCCATCTGCCCCTCTGCTCTGATGGCTCGAAGGTGGGGAGTGAAATCTGCAGCCCACGGGACTCCAAAGTACACCGCTGGGCGCGACCTCAGCCCTGGGTTCCCTGAGGCTTCCTCACTCACATGCACTGCCCCATGTACATCTTCATCAGCATTTCCTCAAAACCCTCTCTGGTGGTGTTAGAGAAATATGTTGATGACTCATTCAGGAGCGTGTGTCTCATCATCACGCTACTCCATGCTAACTCTGGACCTCTAACCGACATGTTTCTTTAACAGGCATATGTCAGTAGTCTTGCCTTTAAAGCCCAAAGAACAAAAGGCAAAAATACCCCCACTCAACCAAAGGCACAAGTCTCCTTCCCCACTTGCCAGTTGATCGTGCAGTCAGGACTGCCAGCACAACAGCTTCCACAAGGGCAGACCCTTTCTAGACCATCTGAGTGCCAAATCACATCACCAAAATGCATCCAGAAGTTCCAAGACTCCCAAGTCTACCTAGAAACTTCTACTGCCAAATGCTCTCCACTGCACCGTTGCCCCAAGAACAGTGTCCCTTTAGGAGCCCAGCAGCCCCAGTAAGTTGAACACCACCACTTCACCTAACAGGTGGGAATTCCAACTCAAGTCACAGAGGGGTACTGGGCACATTGGAGCAGATTCTGCCAAGAATCATGCCAGCTTCTGCCTGGGTGGCTTTGGGGCCATGTGCTTGTTATGTGTGCTGTATCTTTACAGAAAATTATAGAAACAGGATGACTTGATTTTTAAAAGAACAGCTGGAAAAGAAATTAATGAGCCATGCAAGCTAACTGCATGAACATTAGATCCTGGAAGGGCGGTTGCTAACAAATGACCCCAAGCGGGAAGAGTGGAAGCTTGAATGCCGCACAGCATGCAGGCCCAGCGCCAGGGACCACATGTCGGGCAAGGATTACTCAGCAGCAGCATTTTACTACTGTAAATGACATGGCTGGCCCTCTTAAATTACCAGGCATGTGGCAAACCAGCCTTGGGGACACAGCCAATATTTTCATCCCCCACCTCTTTACCCTCCTTGTCTGGTGACCTACCTATAAACAGCACCTGACCTGCACCAATGCCAACAACCTAAAAACCTAGCACTACTCTGCCAGGATTTCCATTAGACCTTCGTGCAATTTTTTCAGCAAGGGGTTAGAGAGATAATTTACATGGCCAGACAAGGGCTTTTTTTTTGTGGAGGAGGGAGGAGAAAGGATGATGCTGATGGTGAATGGTGGGTTAAGAGGCTCCCTCTCCCCCGTCACAGCCCTGTCAAACCTTGCTGTCCCACGGGGCCCAGGCTGCCCCGGCATTCCTGATCCCACAAACACAACTGTACCTGATGGCCCAGGGCCTAAGGGTGTCCACAGCTCACCCCATCACTGGCCTTGTCGAGCAGGCCTATACCAGCTAACTCAGGGCTGGGAAGCCAGACTGCTGTCCCGATTCCAGTACAGTGGCTCTCAATTCCTGCACCTTACATTTCACCAGAATCAAATCAAATCCCAATTCTCCCAGGATCAGTTCACTGTTACTCTATTTACCATGTGTGGAGAAATTTAAGGACATAAAAACTTCTAGCAGCACAGTTAGAAGTAAATTTTATTTTGGGCCTTAAAAAAACAGAACAAAAGGCCAGGCATGGTGGCTCACACCTGTAATCCCAGCACTTTGGGAGGCCAAGGTGGGTGGATCACCTGAGGTCAGGAGTTCAAGACCACCCCGGCCAACATGGTGAAACCCGATCTCTACTAAAAATACAAAAAATTAGCCAGGCACGGTGGCGGGCAACTGTAATCCCAGCTACTTGGGAGGCTGGGGCGGAGAACTGCTTGAACCTGGGAGGCCGAGGTTGCAGTGACCTGAGATCGTGCCACTGCACTCCAGCCTGGGTGACAGAGCAAGACTCCATCTTAAACACACACACACACACACACACACACACACACGCACACATACACACCAAAAAACAGCATGAGAACTCAACAACTAATACTATCAAGTAAAAACAGTACTGCTTTGCAATAGTGAGGTATGAATAGTTACAGGACCATTAAAAATGTTACTGCAGGCTGGGGATGGTGGCTCATGCCTGTAATCCCAGCACTTTGGGAGGCCGAGGTGGGCGGATCACCTGAGGTTGGGCAGTCAAGACCAGTCTGACCAACATGGAGAAACTCTGTCTCTACTAAAAATACAAAATTAGCCGGGCGTAGCGACGCATGCCTGTAGTCCCAGCTACTTGGGAGGCTGAGGCAGGAGAATCACTTGAACATCGGGGGCGGAGGTTGCAGTGAGCTGAGATCGTGCCATTGCACTCCACCCTGGGCAACAGGAGCAAAACTACGTCTCAAAAAAAAAAAAAAAAGTTACTGCAATGACAAAACACATTAAAAACCTTTACTCCCATATTAAAAAGTTGCACTATGGCTGGGCACAATGGCTCACACCTGTAATCCTAGCACTTTGGGAGGCCAAGGAAGGTGGATCACTTGAGGTCAGGAGTTTGAGACTAGCCTGGCCAAGGTGGTAAAACCCCATTTCTACTAAACATAAAAAAATCAGCTGGGAGTGGTAGCGTACACCTGTAATCCCAGCTGCTCCAGAGGCTAAGGCAGGAGAATCACTTGAACCCAGGAGGTGAAGGTAGCATGCATCAAGCTGAGACCATGCCACTGCACTCTAGCCTAGGCAACAAAGTGAGATTCCATCTCCAAAAAAAAAAAAAAAAGTTGCACTGAGACTATGTTAAGTAGACATGCAGATGTAACTTACGGATAATATCCTGAGCCCATCTACTTCAATCTCTCTTTGAGGACCTAATCAAATGTTACTGTAACACACTGGCAATGGGGGACTGAGCACACCAGTTTAAGCAACAGCAGACCAAAAAAAACCAAAAAGCACCTTGGATGCACCTGTGCTGTGGTAAGGGTCTCGTACTTGCCTTACCCGTTGTTTCTCCCTATCAGACCATGTGCTTAACAGCAGACCATTGTGCTTTGTCGGGGGTACCCTGTCTCAGCCGTTATCAGGGTGAGTGGCAGCCAGGCGTCAATGTCTACGAGCAGCATCAACAGCAGCAGTGCTGGCCCTCACTTTCGATCGGAGTGTCTACTGTGGGTGCTGGGCACTGGTAGAGGCTTACACCCATGCTCTCTAAGCCTCACAGTAACCCTGCAAAGTAAGTTTTTTGTGTGAAAAGGTAATACATTAATAATTCACATAAAGTATACAGTAGAAAGCCTTGCTCATATTCTTCTCCTCCATTCCAGAACCTCTGTCCTGAGTCACTGTTACCAGCTTCTCATGTCTCTCCAGAATGTCTTTGTCTTTGTTCATTGCAAGGCAAATACGAATACATATTTATCTACTCTTCTTTTTCACACTAAAGGAGGCACACTATGCACTGTCTCACTTCTGCTTTCTCATTATCTTTTTTTTATTTTTTCTGAGATAGGGTCTCACTCTGTCACCCAGGCTGGAGTAGAGTGGTACAATCATAGCTCACTGCAGACTTGACCTCCCAGGCTGAAGCAATCCTCCCACTTCAGCCTCCTGAGTAGCTAGGGCTACAGGTGAGTGTCGCCACTCCCGACTCATTTTAAAAAAAATTGTTTTTGTAAATAGGGGGTGTCACTATGTTGTCCAGGCTGGTCTCAAACTCCTGGCTGCAGGAGCAAAGCAATCCTCCTGCCTTGGCCTCCCAAAGTGCTAGGATTAAAGGTGTGAGCCACCATACCCAGCCTCCTATTATATCCTGTACATCAGTCTGTATGGACACAAAGACAGCCTCCTCACTCTTTTCTAAAGCTACAGAGTATTCAACTGTTTGGACAAACTGTGGTTTATTGTGGAAGTGCCCCACTGATGGTCACCTATGCAGCAATGAATGCCCCTACACACATGCAGTTTTCACATGCGTGAGTAATGCACCTACAGGATAAACTCCCAGTGGAGTAACTGAGCCAAATATTTTTACAGATATCACCAAATTGCCTCCATGGAAAATGCAATCATGCCTGTTTCCCTACAGAAAGGTAGGTATTGTCATATCATCCATGAGAAAACAGAAGCTTAGAGAGGTAGAGAAACTTGCCCAAAGTCTCATTCATTCATTCATTCATTCAGTATTGAGTACATACCATATGTCAGACACTGATACAGCACAAATGAAAACAGGCATCGTTCCCTCATGAAATTTAGGTTCAAGTGGGAGGAGAAGGTAAGTGAAATGTATGCGATCTGATGATGATGGAGAAAAACAAACCAGGGAGAGAAGAGAAAGTGCTGGGGAGGAGGGGACTGTAGTGATTTCAATGTCAAATAGGATGGCCGCGGGCGCGGTGGCTCTCCCCTGTAATCCCAGCACTTTGGGAGGCTGAGGCAGAAGGATCATGAGGTTAGGAGTTCGAGACCAGCCTGACCAACATGGTGAAAGCCTGTCTCCTACTAAAAAAAAAAAAATAGGATGGCCAAGAAAGGCCTCTTCCTC